ATTTCAATCCTGTTTCTTTACACAAGTACTAAAGGATGGTTACATGTTCAAACATACACTCATCATGTGAAATGTATCCTTGTACCGCTACTATACACCCGGCATTAATTTTAAGACTGATGAATAAACCGATAGAATATATACTACTGTAATACTATTGAAGTCAATTTATTAACTTTGAGTTTTTCCAGTCCAAACCCATTCTAGTCTTACAATCACAACGAATAATTCCCATCCCCACAAGAAAAATTACAAAACCCAAGGAAACAAGTTACAAGTAAGACTTATAAAAAGAGGGTGAACATAAGACCTGCAAGAGTAGAACCATGGACATGTTCAGTGGCACTATCCCACAGGACTAGCAACTAGTATTGATTCCTTGCTTGCTTGTTTTCTCGATACTTCTGTGGTCTTGACTCCTGGATATAGTTTTTTAGTGAGGGGAGGGGAGGGAGCCTTGAGTTCGATATACTTGTACTGTATCTAGGTGGTTCTTTTGTTGTTGATATTGCAATTCTTATACCGCTGTCTTTACTCGAGTATATACTTGTCTTATCTCCTTGCGAGCAGCGAGAACTTGAATGCGATATGTTGTTGTAAAAAAAGATAGAGATTACCCATAGGGATAGAAATAAAGATGGAGATATATCTTTACGATATCTCAATTGTGTAGAATGGAAGATTATAGTATCTGGCTTTTCGTCGATTCAAAATAAATATAAGCATCAGTTTCAGTTTCAGTTTCAGTTTCAGTTTCAGTTTCAGCGTTAGCATTATAGTCTTACTGTAGTGATCCCTTTCGTCTTCGTAAATTGATTTCGAATCTTATTGATTGAATGTTGAATTGCAACTATAAGATGCCTTTTAAAGTGTTTAATTGGACGTATCGTAGCTTGTGTATTTATAATAAGAAGATCGATAGATCATACTTTCGATCATAGTGTGTGAAATTCAGTATCTTTTTAGGTATATATTTCTACCAAACAATTACACAGCTCACTCTTCTCAATACAGTATTTACAAAACAAAATCACAAAACCAATAAGCGTAAACAAGTCCGAAAAATCTCATACGTCTATATTCCAGATATAAAGAGTCTTATTTACAACAGATATATTTGAACCAAAGTTCCAGAGTTTGGTTGTCAACTTTCCAGTCTGCGTCGATATCATCTTCTGTTTTGTCACTAACGAAGGTAGAAAGAATCTTGTTTCAATATCGGTGGATTTGTCTTCGTTGTTGAATTTTAGCTATCGTTGATATTGTCACTGCTATAATTTTACTTTACTTATGCCTATTTGTATAAGTAATAGTCGGTGATATACACTAGAACGATAATACTGATCTTCCATGACCGAATGGTGCGTTTTGAAATAAAGTTCCACTCGGCTGATCTGTACATAGAGTTGTTGAAGCTACTAGCTAATTGACATGATTGATTGTATTGCTTTTTCTTATACTACTTCATCACTAGAGTAGATTTGAAAACTAGTTCGCTTTTATACTTATACCTCACCTAAGTGTAGAAGAGCAGAATGATACACAGAAACACTCACCACGATTGAATTACTATTGCGAACGCCATGTATTATATCCACATAAGCGAATTAGCTTAACAAGTAAATTTGGGACTGGCTATAAAACTGTCTGATATAATAATATAGTACACAGGATGATGTACATCGCAATTCGCCAACATGTCCGCATGACTTCGATACGTAGTCCCAAAGCTTTTCTCCTTACTTCTTATACCGTATTTGATCTCTTTCGCCCACATTTTTCTTAGCATATAACGTACATAGCGTACTAAGTAGCATGAAGCATATATCAATCGCGCTACTACAACTAAACGCCGCTGCCATCTTCAAATTCTTGCTATTGAAGCTATAGCAATTTGAAAGCCACCTAAAATGCAAGAAAATCACAGTAGCAGATGCTTACTTGTATTAGATTCTCCTAGAACCGAGGCTGGGACTACCTTTTGCTAGAATTATTATTTTTACTCCATTCCTATAATATTGTATAGCTTTTGAATGCTTTGTAATACTATATACCTTTGCATTCAACACGTAAATTTACTTGTTTATATACTTCGGATGAGATTAGAATTTGTACTGTAGCTCGCCACCCAGCTTCCAATTTAGTTTCTATCTTAAAGCATTAGCTCGATAAGGGAGGACTCGGTTGAGTATTAAAATCCCTGGAATGGGTATGACATACAATATGCTACCTTCAGTTATAAGGTGTAGATGCGAATGATGGAATTTCAATATTTGCTGTCAAATTCATCAACCAGCACTCACACATGATCGTTGTGGTCGACAGTAGCGTAGTCCAATATGAATAATTGCGTTGCGTTATCATAGTTGGATTTTGTTATCGTTCTCACATGTATACACACACACACATATATATATATATGCTAGCTGTACTATTATAGCTACGTTCATAGATTGATAGCATGAGCCTAAGCGCGTATATTTTCTTATCAGCTAGAAACTCCCACTATGACATTGCGTGCGTCGATCAACCTGGACTTGAATCTTTCACAGCCATTATTGAATTCTATGACTGGCTCCTTGATGCCACTTGAAACAATGTCTATCAAACTATGCTGCACTATCAGATCATGGACCTCCTTATCTATATACCCCCATGAACCCACATTTCAAAATATGAAGAATGCAAGAAAGACTAATCTTGTCACAAATCTAAATACTAGACTAGTGGCATCTATTATGATTACTATGGTTTATAAACAGAAATTAGACTAGCTCAGTAAGGAACCCGTAGCTGAGTATAAAATGCCCGGTATAAAAATCCAATCTACACTATCATATAATCACAGAGGGAAAAAAGACATTCGAAAGATTTCGGAGTTTGTTGCGAAAACCTCGAACCTTGGGTTGTTTATGGTTTTTTTATGGGACTGATCATTGCTCTCTAAACCATATGGTATTTTGATATCGATAGTTTTATTATTGATGCTGGTTTTTGCTGGCGATTTGTGTGGTTTGCATTAATTGTGATATGAACAAGCTGTCAGACTTCGCCGTGTTTCTATCGAGATCTGTCTAATTTCCAATCTCGATGCTCGTTTAATCATTATTGACAATTTATATGTCAATCTGCTTTAAAAGGCTCGGAAGAGTAAGATTTACTGTCGGTACATATATCCATTTACCATCAGTCCCGAAGCTTTATTCTGTTTTGAACAAACGGATTCCCTGTAGAATACCGAATCTGTTCATTATCATCTATTCGAAGATCTGACTCACTAAATGAACCCCTGTAAAGTCACTCAGAGCCTTAACATATATCTCGTGCTTGGATATTCAACAAGGTTGCTATAATTCGAAATGTATCAAAGGCATGCTGCTTTTTATACTGATCGATAAATTAATAGTAGGAAGTAGTACGGACTATCTCAAACATGGAGTTCAGAGTTGTTTAATTTCCTGATTGGAAGATCTATCTATAAATAAGACACAATGATTTGTATTTTCTGAGTCACGAAATCTGTTGAACTCGTCGGACTAATCCCAGTATTTTTGTAGGCTTATAACTTTTGGAAAGGAGACTGTCAAAATAAGGCTCTATCATTTCAGGGAGTAGATACGTGCTCAATATACACTTACTTCATTCTATATGCTAATTTTGTCAATTTTGGACCATCATTGACAAAAAGAAGTTTCCTTGAGATGTTCATGGTCTAAATCCAAAAATCTGAGCAGATTTCAGACTTCGTTGTAGCAACCTACTCAACTTACATCTGAATCCATAACCCCCTCAAAATCAACAACCTCTGCCTACATAGTTTTTGATACGCTACACAAAGAGTTCTGAGTACTGTTTATATAGTAGATGAGTGAAATCAGCCACTACAGCATCCAAATGGAGCCTGTTTAGACAGAGAATTAGAGTTGGTGAAAACGCTCTCATTCTAGCTCATATTCTCACGATTTAAGTATATAAGATCATCTAATTAGCTGGTAAAAAGCCATTTTCAAGGTTTATTGAGATAAGATTGTATTATGGCGCGTAGCACTGTTGTTTATACAGAATTTCTATCGTACAGTATCGTTGCCAATCTTAAGCTCTCGTTATCATAAATAAATAATATGAATTTCCTAGAAACTCCAAGCCGCAAGATGAGCCTAAGCAGATTCGGTTCTTTAAAACACTCCGGAAATTTTTCGGCTGTAACTTGTAATCCTACGAAGATGCTGGTGTGCAGAAGACAATTCATTTTTTTGGAATGCAAAAAGGTTTCTGATTACATCTTGTATTGCTAGACAAATCCAAAACTAATTCCAGACTCGACTCGACATACTTCTTTACTCGCCATCTAGGTAGAAATTAGTGACGACGCCTATGGTGTAGTACGCAACACCTAGAATACAATAAAGCAGAAATAGAGTTCAGGACTTGGTTGTTATTATACTCTCTAAGAATAAGGCTGCCGGAATAGGACTGTTGAATAAGACTGGCATTGTATTGCAGCAAGTGGCCATGTTCAGCATATATTCATCTTACAGATATTGTTGTCATAACTCGCATTCTACCTCTTCATGAGAGGGAAGTATCACTTATTAACGAATATTGACGATGAAAATAAATCCATGGTGTTTCGTACAACGAATATAGGATTAAACGGAGTACTAGGTCCAAATACACTGCTAGCTGCCACAGATTCTCCATATGTCGGACTCTGGAAGGCTGGTCTCTCACCTCGCACACGATGGACCATAGTTATATCTGCAACTAAATTGATGATCGAAGTTCAGGGCTAGTATTTATACTTGAACTTGAGAACGGAAAGCATTTGGTTGACTAGAAGTCTGTCTAGCAGCAACCACCACTTGGGAATTTTCGCCTGGCTAGTTTTCTGTCCACTAAATTGCAAGATAGCTAAACTTTTCTGATTTGACCTAACACCCATCTATACATCCACTTGACAATACGTTCTGTTTCCTCACATAACCAAGTCTTCTCTTCCCTCACAACTTCGGCTTCGGCTTCGCCTTCAAATATCCCACACACCACTCCACTGCCACCCTATACCCAAAGACGCCCAACCCACAAATAACCGCCTCGGCCTTATCACTCAAAAAACTCTTATGACGAAACTCCTCCCTCTTATGCACATTACTAATATGCACCTCCACAAACGGAATATCCACCCCCGTCAACGCGTCCCGCAGCGCAACACTATAATGTGTAAACGCACCAGGGTTTATCACAATAGCATCGGTGTCATCGGTGCGAGCCCCATGGATTCGATCGATAAGTGCGCCTTCCCAGTTACTCTGGAAGGTTAGGAGGGTGACGGCGGGAGTGAGGGAGGAGAGATAGGTGGAAAGGGAGGATTCAATGGATTGGAGGGTATCGTAGCCGTAGATGTGGGGTTCGCGAGTTCCGAGGAGGTTGAGATTAGGACCGTTGAGAAGGAGGATCTTCTGTATGGGCATTGTGGTGGTTTATGATAGCGAGTGTGTAATTGGTGGATTCGGTTTGCTTGTTTATGTGTATTATGATGGATATGGAATGCTGTAAAGATGTGTAGAAAAGAGAGAAACTTTACTGTACCTACATTTTTGACGGAATTGTCTTCATCCATATCTGATATTCCAACTACTATTCCAACTGCAATAGGTGTGTCTGTCTCGTGTGCTTGAAGTTTGGAAGTTTTGGTGGAGGAAATATGAGGATGTAGTTGATCGCGGGGGAATGAATAGCGGGGCTCGGATAAAGATTTACCCCCTCCCCTCCCTAATCGTCGGTTAGAGAATAACTTTTGTACCAAGCTCGATGAATGATTGATCATATTCTATAGTAAATGGTATTATCTCCGGGACTCTACAGATGAGATACCGGAGGCGATCACTTTCATTCAAGATAGCCGAATTTTCAGGGGGCGGTCGATATATTACAAGTCGATATGATATCCAAGAGTGAAAACACTACTCACATAAGTGTCACGTCTAGTATTCTTCTGCGTGTTCATACATGAAACAGACCGGTACTTGTTGAAACAGATCAAGATAACCACTTTCAACTACCTCGATAGCGGCCTAAAAATGTCTACTTATCAGTGCTCGAATGTATTGGTTGTTCTTCCTTGTCCTTCCTTGTCCTTCGTGATGAGCACTTTGACACTCACCGAAAATAGCTTGATTCGGGACTCAAGCAAGCTACCATCTAATAGTAGATTCAGAAAGTGACAGTGGACTTCTCATAAGCGCTCAAAATATTACCGAAATCAAATGATAATAAAAATAGTCGCTCGACAATGCTCCTATTTTCTCGAGACAGACCATCTTCTACATGCAGTTCTATCCATAGCACTTCTGTTAGTTCAACGTTCTCTACCAGTACAATTGAATACTACTGTAGGTCAAAGTTCCGATCAGAAACGCCCCTCTACCTAACCAGATTGTCTGTAACTTTGCATTTGTTCTTTGTTATTGTTTTTTTTAAAGACCACGAAGCTTTTATATTGTTCTTATTCCAAAGTTCGTGGAGTAAAATGGAAATATGACAACCTCAAGGGGGATATTTTTATGCACATACTACATTTCTGGTCTTCTGATACAATTATAATGAATTGGTGTTAAGGTGATTAGGTATGGTCTAGTAGACGCCGTTTCCACATACCTCGACCGGCCAGCGGATTGAATCTGTTTAAGAAGAGTATGTATGCACTATAAAGACTCTAAGAGGTTAAACTCAGGTTACTTGCTTACAACCCTCTTTTTCGTATGGCGTATTCTGAGATTGGTGGCGAATGTCGATGAATCTGTAGATTTGGGGGTTTTTCCGGAAGTATTTGCATGGATGATAACGACGACTGCACTTATTATCATCTGCTAACGCTACGATATACGGCGTCATGATGTCGCTATCACTCATCACAAACACCCTGTCGGACAACCAAGAGATTATAGTCCGGGTCAGAACGGCGGGGTGGAAATCCGTTGTATCCTCTCACATGGCTTCCCTCTGTCAAGCCACTAGTATTATTCACGGATTAGTGCCAGAAATGCTGTGGTATTCCGAACCAATCATTCTCCACACTTGTTACACAAGAAGAACAGTTGTTCACCATGGAACCCCTCCCCTCTCTGTGAGTCGCTTCTGATCGCAACCATTCAGCTTTCCTATTTTCCCGAAACTTATATAGCAAGCCCTCGATTTAATACTTCGACCTTGGATGTCGAGATTGCACTAATCTTACACTAATCACACGATGATGACAGTGCTTTGGGGTCTGAACAGTGGGTTTGATTGTAGGTTTATCCTTTCAGCAAGTAGACAAATAACTGCCAATCTAATAACCTCATTCTACTACTCAGAGGATAGCAACTCCTAGTGAATTTGATTCATTGGGAAGGTTCTCGGTTTTGACGCCATCACTCTGTACTTGTACAGCTCTCGGCGATTGTTTATCATTTATCGTTTCAAAACTCAACGTCAATTTTTGACTATACATCTCCTCTGCAGTTTCTTTTGAAACACTTCCAGACAATGTGACTAAACCCAGCCATCCCGATAATGAATGAAACAATATGACTTGTGTTGATGTATATATTTATATCCGTAATTTTATTGTACCGTACGAAGAGTCATATCAACTATTGGGTAAATCAAGTTGCAAAGTTGTCTATTGATCAAACATTCACCAATCAGTTTCACATCTACTCAATAAAAATGGGGACGGACAATAGCAAACGCTTTCTCATTTGATTCCTACATCATTGATCATAAACGACAATCGCTGCCCAAACGTTGCCCCTACCAACTCTATATTCTTCAAAGTCAACCATGCCCATGAGCCTAACCATAAAGTCCCAGACAAAGACGAGCATCCAGATGGTCAAATTTATGGCTTCATGCATCAGTCTCGAACTTGTTTATATCCACAACATGACCATCAAAGAACATTCCCCCGAGTAATGAATATTGCAACTAGGAAAACTGTGTTTGAGCCGTCATCAAATTCGTGTAAAGAAGTTTCAGCAAGAAATATCTTGGCTAGTGCAGTTTATAACTACCCAATGCAGATACATTCCTACTCTGATTCCCAGTCCATAGATATCTGAGTTGCTTACATATCCACACGGCGGTAGTATCATGAGATTGTCGTCTTTCCCAAAGAAGGTATCGATCGGTATGTGAAGCATTTTTCTCCTTGGTATGGATAGAGTACGGAATAGAGGAAACTTATGTGACATAAGAAATTGCCCGGCAGTTGAAGCTTTGCGAAGTAAAGTAACATTACAGCCGCCTTCCGTCAAGCCAAAGATTAGCAAACTAATCCAGGCCGTATTGAACCTCCGCCAAACCGAAATTTATTCAACATCATTCTCTCCGTCTTACACCAATAATAAACAACTACTACTTCCACCACCACCTAACCACCTATGTACACAAAACATTCCCATTCTTTATCCATATAATCCTACAAACAACTAGCCTGCCAACCTGGTATTCCAATTCCAACTCTCTTTTGCCCACCCATACTAACCAATCAAACCAAACCAAACCACCCCAACCCAGCCCAGCCCCACCCAGCCCAAAAGTTAATACACAATAAAAACTACAAAGTATGTTATGTTATACGAGAAGCTCAATCAATAAGCCTTCCCAATCGAAAATGTAAAGGGTTGCTCTCCCTTGCCCATTGTCGGAGAATCGAGTTGCTCCTCTCCCCTGAGGACTTCCTTTCCCTTTTTCCCCCTCCCACTCCCATTTCCACCATCATAAACACTGGGGCTCAGCGTCATGACACTCGAATCGCTAGTCTTATATGCATGTGTTGATTTTGGCTCTGGTAATGGCGGCGGTCTCTCGTCCAATGTGAAAATAATCTCTTCTCCTTCTTCATCCTTGGATTCCCTGTCTCCTATTTCCCTCTCTGAGGTCCTCGTATGTTCTTTGGATGATTCGAATGGAAATTGCGATTGTCGATAAGAAGGCATGACCATACTCTTTAATCTCTCCCCAATTCCCATACTCATACCCCTCATGCTCTTCCCACTTCCACTTCCACTCCTTCCCCTCTCATCATCGACCTTTTCCGGCACCCTCCCTGGGTTGAAAAGTACGCTGATACTCTTACTACTTCTACTTAGCCCACTATCACTCATTCTGATTGGTCTTTCCAGATCTCTTCTCTCTAATTCCGCTTCGGCCATCCTCAATTGATAATCCATTTCTGCAATTTCTTTTTCAATGTCGATGGAATCGTGGGTGCTGTAGTTATCTTCGTCACCTCGTTCGTAGGCGCCTTCAATGTAATCTCGATTTGTGTTCCCTAGTTCCGGTTGAGAATTTGCGTAGCGTGAGGCGTTGTTTGCTCTGGTTAGAGGGTTTGAGGTGGAGGTTGAGACCGAGGGCTCGGAGTGACGGCTACTAGCGGGGTAATTATATGCAATTCCTGGATTGGGATTCCCGTAGTTCTGTTTCCCCTTTTCCATCCCGCCACCATAGCCCTCATCCCCATTCTGTCCCTCCCTTATTCGATTCTCCCTCTCCCTCATTCTTTTCCTCGAAATCAACCGATAAACCAGCACACTCACAACACTACTCGCAATACTTATCCCAATAATAAGCACCACAGCAACCGTCATAGGAAGCGTCGTAGCCTTCGAAATTTGCACTGCAATAGTCGCATCGGCCAGCTGTGAATAAATCGCCGACGAAGACTCCGTAGCCGCTGCCCCCAATGCTAAAGCCGCAGTTTGTGCGCTATTTGTTGCAACTGCTGCAGCAGAAATCAGAGATACGGATGCAGCGGAGAGCTGTGAACTAGCACTAGCTTGGATACTTATTATCTCCGCGCTTGCGCTCATTAATGCAGCGGAGGCGGAAGACTGGACCAGAGCAATAGCACTTGAAGCGCTAGCATCAGCAGCGGCGATACTAGCTTGTGCTATGGAAATACTGGCTGCGGCAGAGGTACTGAGGAAAATGAGTTGGGCGGAAGCATTGGAGGCGAAGCTTGAGGAAACTTCGCTTGAGGCTGAGAGGACAAGCCCGTTACATTCAGGAATGAGGGAGAGAACGTCGCTAAGTTGGGCGACTCTGAGTCCTGGTGGAGGGGTAACTTCTGGTTGGAGGGTTGGAGATAGAGGCGATGATGTGAGAGTTTGAAGAGTTGTTGAGGCAACAGATATTGGTGAAGGTTGTGGGGTTCGACGGAGGAGAGAAGCATCACACAGTCCTGTTCCTGTCGCGAAGACTAGGAGGGAGAACTGATTAAGGTGCATGACGCCCTCGAGTGGTCTGGACTTTCCATCAATATTTATCACCAATATGCAGGTAAATGATAGAGGAATGAAAGCTTACCTTGAGGGTATACTGATCTACAACCACATATGCGTCTAGCACTATTTAAACGCTTAAATCTTCTCATTAAATGTATTTGCTGTCCTGCAGGCTGCGGTGTAAATTTTCCATCAATGTGTATACCATATGTCAGATTGGCATAACCACATCAATCACAATAAATGAATCGCGGGGAAGGACAAAGCATACAGTAGTTGTTAAACCACTAAGGCCGCGTCCAACGTCCACACCAACGAGTAATCGATCCGACATGCATAACGTACATGGTTAGATTTTCCTATTCGCGGTCTTCTAGAGCTAATCACGCGTTTCACACCAACAGAATTCATGGCAATTTTGCCTTCTCAAGGTCACAGAAATGCAATTGTTTTGTAAGGATGTGAAAACTTCGCATCTTGGTAACCACTAGTCTGTCCGTGAACTGTTTAGGAATGTCGTCCAATCGGGACTCGGGGTAGAAATTGGGTGAAGAACTACGATTGACGATTGAATCAATTATGATTCTTCAAGTCTGTATTCTTCATTGGAATTGATAAATCCCTGATTGAAAGCTTTCTGTAAGATCAAATTCAAAGACTTCACTAGAAGTTTAGATTACAATGAACCAAATAGACATGATCTAATGAATGAACAAAAATCCTGAAATCACCATGAACGAACCCCTTAGCTTCGAGATAAACTCTAATCCCCAGCCATATCTGTACAGATATGAATCCACATCTTTTTTCTCTCCATACTCCATCATCATAAGTTCATAACAATCATAATGGACATAAGGAGTACAAAGTTTCGAAGTCAAGGTTCATAATTATAGTAGAAACACGCACGGCTTCTCACTAGTGCGACGTTGTCTTATCACAAAGCGAATCATCAAGTCCAAGCCACTGGCACCGGATGAGACCACAAATTCAGTAATCCATTCAATCAATCTCGATGATGCGGTTCATTATTTGTTTATCAATAAGCAGATTGAACTCTTTACGGTCGATATGCCAAGATTTCTTTTCGTCCTATTTTTGGATTTTCGAGACATACAAACGTTAGAATATCAGGTTGGAAAGGATTGGATAAATACTTTACTTTTCCTTCCCAAGTTCTTGATCGTATGCTTTGGGATTTGTATCCTTCACCTACCTCGTTAACCAACGACATATTTGGGGATTATTGAATTGTTGAAGGTGTCTTGAGATCTCATTTCTCACCACACATTGTAAGATCCATTATTTGTTACTGTGGGGGTTCAGAAGAACTCGCACCATTAGCATTGATATTGATGCTGGTAGTGATAATTTGTTATTCATTAAGCCCATGTTATGAAGATGTTAATAAGATCCAACGAGAGAAACCATGCATAAGACTATTCGTGTCGTAATATCATCGCGCCGGCATCAATACGGTGAAGTTGTCACAATATAGATAACGCTTTACTCCTCCCAAGGTCGTTTCCGTGGGTTTGGCTGAGTTGACCTCATTGCCTCTGCCGACTTCGATTGTTCCACTGGTTTAAATGAATCTTGGAATCCATGTGTTTGCTTCACTTCCTCTGGAGCACTAGGTTGATTTAATCCCGTTGCTCCCACTGGGACCATTTGCTCCACTGGCTCAACTGACTCAATTGGTTTATGCAATTGCTTCTGACCATCTGGATTAACCGGTCCATGTGGCTGCTCCAGATCCTCTGGCATATGTGGATCATGAGATTGCTTCAGACCCTCCGAGAATTTTGATTCAAGTGACTGCTTCACATCTTCTAGAACATTCGGCTCCTTTGATTCCACTAGCTCCTCCGGGGCGTTTGATTCCTTTGGTCCCTTTGCTGCCTCTGGAAGTTTCGAATCCTTCGACGGCTTCGATTTCTTTGACTTCTGCGACTCCTTTGGTTCCGTCAATACCTTGGGTTCTCTATGTTGTCCAGAAGCAGGAGGACGTCTTGCACCACCATGTCCAGGTAGACCATTTTCATTTTTCGTATGCCACTTACAATCTTCCTTGTGGTAATCATTGCCTCTTTTCTTGATGACGCGAAAATCGGCACAGCAAGGCCAGCAAAATTCGTACAGGCAATAATCGCCTATCAATCAATCAATCAGTCCAGGACTTTTATCTCTACATGTAATCGTGGAACCTACACTCACAAGTCAAATGATCGCAACCACTTTTCTTCTGTATTCTCATCCCACATTCCGGGTTTGGACAGAGTTTCGTATGCTCCGAAATCCATGCTTCGGATGCTGCTTCTTGCTGGACTCGAGCTTGGTTGAGAATGTCGAATTCTGCGCATGTAAGATCTTCGTGCCATGGAAGTTTGTGAATGAAGCATGTCTTGAAGCCACACGCGGTACATGTCATCATTGGTTGTTCTTGTCCAGTATGTATTTGACCTGATTCGCAGGTGGGACTGAGGCAAAAGGTAAAGTTTGGGAGATGTTGAAGAGACATCATTGATGCTCTTCGACAGTTTCTTGTAGTTGGATGTGAGTGAGTATACTAAAATGGGAAGCAAGAGAGAGTATTTACCTATTCAAAACCTCTGGTGAGGCATAAGTCTTGATCTCGGTATCAGAAACCTTCTCGGGACACTCGGGACATTGGATTCGATCTGATGCTTTGGTTTGAACTTGAAAATCGATATGTTGAGTGAGGCATTGATTGCAGACTGCTGGATGATGTGCACATGTACTTGTGATGCGAGATTGTGGGAACTTTTCTGGTGCTAGTTTTTCCATGCAAATCTTACACTCATCGACAGCGGCAAAGATTAAGTCGTCTTCTGCTTCTACCAGCTTTGCTTCCTTGGCTGCTGGTTCACCGGTTTTCTTCGGAGTGATCGGTGGCTAGAACATCCGAGAGTCAATGAGTACTTAATATGAACACAGTTAAGGGATGACAGAGAAAGGATGATAGAGAAAACAGATGATAGAACCTCTAAATAGATTGGCATATCGGGGATATGAAATGAAGTAAATAGATGCTTACCTTTAAAGCATCACCCAATAAAGCTGCGAGAGCTTTACAGGTATTGTCGCCAGCTAACCATTTCATGAGTGCTTCTTTTTCTCTTTCGCCAACTGAGTTTTCGAGTTCGACAAGCTTATGGAGATAGTCTTCTTTCTTATCATTATTTCTCAACTTGACGTTGTAGCGACCTAAAAGCATCTTAATTGGGCCTCTCCGATGGTGAGATGGAGAACAGCCAAAGATCAAACCCGGAAGTTTGGGAAACTTAGGATCTGGTGCAGTGCTCATGTTTGCTTGGATTCTGCCACACGATGAAGTAGTATTTGAGATAATCGTTTCAATATTAGAAAGACCTCGAGTAACGATAAATGAGCAAGTCAGGGTCGATAAAGATGTGGTTGAGGATTGTAGAAGATTTTGTCTTCTGATGACGTCTATCGTCCATATCTACATAGTGTATTGAGTTGGGTAGGTAGTTGAAGGAGTACATGCAAATAAATATATGAGTGAATATGTAGACGGTATTTTATCTCGTCTTTATCCTTACCACACCAGTGGCATAGAATTCAAGTCAAAAGGTGAGTTAAATCTGACATATGCGTTGTGTTATCGTAAGAAAATTCAACCTTCCAGTATCCGAATAAATTCTTGGTCGTTCAGGATAACTTGAGCCTTTTCTTGATTTCTAAGTTATCAAAAGTGTCGCCGATCCGTGGTTTCTGGTCACATTCTGCAAATGCGCTCTCATGCACGCTTACGATACTAGGATTTGGGCCGGGTGGACTTTATAGTGTAGTAATACAAGAAAAGCAAGGGCTTTCAGTTAAGCTGTTCGTAGAAAGAAAACGCTCCGTCCTCTGACGTTACCAAAATACGTTAAGAGGTCGGATAAACGAAAGAGATATCTGAGGTCACGATTCCAAGGTAGACATCAAAGCCTGTCGTTGAAATCGTCCCAAAAGAGAAAGTGCTATTTCCGGCACAAATAAGAATTGAAAGCTTTCCAAAAATCTTCCTGTAGCTGAAATCCAGAAAGCGAGAATCTATGTCGAGACATACATGTGGAAACTTCCTCGTGCGAATCACATATCTTCGGAATTATTATGTTCACCTTTACTCCCTTCACTGATCTATACTCGCGAGAACCCAAGGGGCCACCATCAAATAAACCTCATAACTAATAGACATGAGGATCTTGGTGAATATTCTCATTACCAGCTCATCATAAGTTTTCCCATCAGCCAAATCTCTTGATAATAGGCATGTCATTTGATAAGAGACAAGAGAAGAGGAATAAAAATACAGAAGACAACGATAATGACAATGAATATTCAGCACTGCCAATGATGACGGGCAACTGCAATAAACCCAAATACTTCAACTCATGCCAGCTACTTGACAGCAAAAGGATAAATACGACAATGAATGAATGTGAGTATGGCTGACAAGATGATATCAAGAGATGATAATACGAATAATTTCCATCCACCATAACCTGTTGCTTGACAAACAGCAGGAAAAACGACAGCAGTATCATGATACTGATCGTAATACTTTAATGCTTTTGGTGCCAGCTGTAGTGAGAACTGTTGATATTGATGAAGAAGCTAGGATGGGTTTCGACGTCCGAAGTTGAGCAATGATAATAGCCACGTGATCTTGCACTAACGGTCAAGGCGGCCGCTTAGTCCGGACTATTGAACTTTCTTTACCCCCTGAATACCTTTCTATTTCAAAGAGAACAAATAAAATACTAGAGCGAAATATCGCTTGCCTGAGCAACTCCAGACAATCGGCTTCCAGCGGCTCTCAAGATCGTCTTCTCCTCTCGATTATGGATTGGTGAGGGAGACTACACCCAAGCCAAGCAGCTTTGCTCGAGTGAGCTGTCATAGCAAAAATAGTATCGAGCATTTACTCGAGTATCAAACTACCAACCCTCCATCCCCCATAAATAAAAACATGCAACTACAAACCATCCATCTGCTTCATGGTTTTTAGGTCTTACACTCCATATCCTCCCAAAGTATCCGCCGCTACCCATCACCATCTCTCCTGCTTCGAATCTTCCACAAAGATCTAGAAACCCTCGCATTCACCTCATCTAAAATTTGAGACTCCGATCTAGAAGCTCTTTCCACTCACTCACTCGCTCTCTCATATTCTCTCCATCTCCCCATCTTTCTTCCCCCCTCCCCCCACATCATCCACTCCCCAGCCCACTCTACTGACACTGACTCCAAAATTGACTACCGGTATTACAGTAACCACACAATTAAACGGCGCCTCACAAACCGTCGACCCCGTATACCCAGTCCCAATACACTGATCCCACTGCTTTACCTGAACTGCAGTTAATGGCGTAGGAGTTGTGGGAGTCGTTGAAGTCATACCTACAGTATACTCCTTAGCCTTTTCTTTCCTCTCTTTCCTCTCTTTCCTCTCTTTCCTCTCTTTCCTCAACTTCCCCCAACTTCCTCTCAATACCACCACACCCCCAAAAGGAAACCAGCAAAGCAAAACAAAGCAAAGCAAAGCAACAAATACAAACCCCTACAACCCGCCCTCCCCTCCACCCCCACAAAACCCTACCCCCACAAACTACAGCACTAAACACACTTGACAAATATTCAATATTCCAGCCCCGTCCCTACCACAGTAATTCATACTACAGCAGAGATCTTGGGCACGAGGGACCGTAGCACAGGAACCTTAGCCGCGGATTTGCAGATGGAGAGGCGTTGCTGCTGCGGAGCCTATGAGAAGGAGGAGGGAGATTCCGGGTCGACTTCGTGGTCGATATGGTAAAAGGCCGGGTATTTGAAGTAAAGGGTGAGCGGTTCGTTGAGGTGGTGAACTTGTTTGGAACATCTTCAGTTTGTTTCAGGGGAGTGAAATGGAAGTCTTCTCCAAGTATTTTGAACATCATCTTCATGAATATAATCTTTTCAAGATGATCGAATATCCCAATTTGCTAAAGGCCGGTCTTGAGTATCCCCCCTCAAGGGAGGTTTAAGATTCCGATTCCGGTACCCCTATCATCAAGCTTTCCCCATTTCCCCATATTATAAGTTCAAATATTTATACACTGTAGCTCTTTTTCTTTCCAATTTGGTCATACCATCCTCCACATATCTGAAGCTCATGATATCTCTTTTCATCCGAACCCTCCCTCCGTAACCAATGCATCTGAAAAGTATGCTCCTTTACCGTTACCGAGCGCAAAGCCATCGAGCGTAGCGAGCTATGGGGGTTTGGGGGCTTGCCCCCATAAATAGAATCAATCGAGTGGAATGACGCTCCGCTAGCCCTCCGGGGGCCACTGCCGTGGAGGCAGACTATGAATCAGAATCAGATGGTACTTCGGGAAAAGGAAAGGTCCATATTTCCCTTTCCTTGTCTTTACTCCTTCTGTTGCGAGACAAATTCATCATCTTCTATCTTTGTCTCTTCCCAAATCCGAGGCCCTTCCAGATCTTAACACATTACCCGCCTCTCTCACATCCCACTATATCATCTTTAAAATCCTTATCATCCATCATCCAAACCCTCACCACCACCCCCTCTTCCTCTCTCTCCCCTTCTTACTCTCATCCACCTCCGCCCCCATCCCCACAACCTTCAAATTATCCTCCATAGTAACCCTCACCCCCTCACCCCTCCTCCTCTCCATCCCCCTCGTACTCTCCTCCACCGTCGCCCCATCCCTCCTCATTCCCGCCTCCTTGATCTTCTTCTCCAATCCTATCCTTTTTGCTACCAATGCCCCTCTTTGTTGTTCTAGATGTGAGATTCTTTCCGAAAGTGTTGCTTCGCGAACCTTGCGGATTTCCTAGAGACTATGAGTTTCGTTCCCTGACTCTGATGAAATAACAAAACAAGAAGTATCAACAGAGGTCATATGCAATTAGCATGCTTACCTTTTTATGTTCCCCCTGCGTCTTCAACCCAGCACCATATATTGCGCCCACGGCAGTAATAGATGTAATTGCACAAGTCCACACTATTCTTTTTACTTTGAGACTCTGTTGTGGTGATGCCATTTTTGCGCCGACTTCCAATCAATTCTCTATGTCGTAAGTAGCAGGTATGGCGATTTCCAATTGAAGTTGTGCTTGTGGATGTGAAGCTTGAAATGAAGCTTTAGAAAAATAATCTCGGGTCCAAACTTCACCAAAGATTCAGGCTGGGCTTTTCGGGGAGGGGAGACCCGATGCCCCGATGCCGACATCTCAATTTCATCCACTAATTTTTCCCTCTCTGATTTCCTTTCATTCTCTTTCTTCTTGTTGTTTCCCTCTCCAATATCCGTAATCATAATATTGTCTTTCTCCTTCCTCTCTTTTTATTTTCCCCATAAACACTCTTATCAATTTTCCCTTTCCTCCATCTAAATTTCATTTCCATTTCCTCACCAATCAAATCATCTCCTTTAATTTGTGCATTGGCGGAATTCCCGGAGCGCAAACCGACGTCATTGGTGGGTGGACATGCTTGTACAAGTGAGGGGCAGAAATACCGATATGATGATTTGGGAATGTAGTAAGCTATTTGCATATTGATTGGACTTCTTTGATAGAAGTCAATGATTGAACGAATGAATGAAAGATATTTGTTAGATCTGAATGAAAGGAGTGAGGTATAGATAGGTAGGTTATGTTGGTTATTTATGCATTGCCGCCAATTATACTTGCAACGAGAATGAGAATGAGAGAGGGATGAGTTTGAAGAAAGGATATCAGGATTTATGATAACGGAGTTCCGGTATTGATTTATTTACAGATTCCACTTCCAACCAACCCGACTCATAATTCCCTTTTAGATATCCCATCAAATCTCCAATTCGCATCCAAACATCCATCTTCCCCCTCCTATTAATCAACAAATATACCAGTACATAAACCCAACAAACCTCACACAATGACTTCCCCCCGAGTCTTCATAATTCGTCACGGCGAAACCGAATGGTCTCTCGATGGTCGACATACAGGCACCACTGAATTACCACTTACCGCCAATGGAGAAAAGAGAATACGTGCAACAGGACGAGCATTAATTGGTGATGATCGATTGATTGTTCCCAGGAATTTGGCTCATATGTATAATTCTCCCTCCTTTTATTTCTCTTTCTTCCAAAACCCTTTACTTCCCATCCCGAATCCTCAAAATATAATGAATCAACAAGTCTAACAACCCTCAGCTACGTATCCCCCCGCAAGCGCGCCCAAAAAACCCTCGAACTCCTCGAAGTAGGATGCGCCGACAAACTTCCCTGGGAAGAACGTCGCAAACACGCTGATTCAGGTGAGCACGGTTTAATCAATACCTAATCCCACACTCCCTGATACAGACGCCAGCTCTATATTATTTCCTCTCCAATCTCTAACACCGCTTTACTCCCCTTCTTCTATTTTCATTTTCACTCCCACTAACCCAACCCCCTTCCCCCAGGAATCCGCACCACCGCAACCGTAGAAATCACCCCCGACATCCGAGAATGGGACTACGGCGCCTACGAAGGCATAACCTCTCCCGCCATCCAAGCCCTCCGCAAAAAGCAGAACCTCCCCCCTTGGGACATATGGCGTGACGGATGTCCCTCTGGCGAATCTCCTTCTCAAGTAAGCGCACGCATCGATCGACTCATCGCCGACATTCGATCCAAGTATCATGAACCTGTTCTGAATAAGGACAGGGATAAAGTTAAAGAGGCAGGGCCGGGCGATGTACTGATAGTAGCGCATGGACATATATTAAGGGCGTTTGCGATGAGGTGGGTGGGGAAGACGTTGATGGATGGACCGACGTTTTTGCTAGAGGCGGGGGGAGTGGGGACCCTGAGTTATGAGCATAGGAATATAGGGGAGCCGGCGATATTGTTGGGGGGTGCGTTCATGGTGGATGTGGTGGAGAATTCCGTGGGGGATGAGAGGAGAGGGAGGGGTGGTATAGAGGATGGGGGATAGAGAAAGAGATGATATTTGATATGATTCAATAGACAAGAAAAGAACATTAAATGATATAAATGATTTCAGATAACCATAGAATAATATCACGGGAGAATCTAGCTATTTAAATATTTAGACACCAGTACCAGTAGACGACTTCAAGACCGACATATATAACCTTTACAATTCCACAACATCGCAACATCACAACATCACAACATCAAAACCTGATCGAGTAAGTATATCAAGAATTACATCTAACATTGGAATTCTATGATACTCGAGTACCTACTCGAGTATATATAAAGGCCACAAATTGGCTTCGGGGTATCTCCATCTACCTACTATACTCCCATTTGTCTCTCTATTCTATTCTAATTCTATTCCTGGTGCTTATTTCCTTTCTTTCCTTCTACTTAATCATTAATTTTCTGTTTTTATAAAAACCTTGTTTGCTTGCTTGCTTGCTTGTTTGTATCATCCCAAATAAACCGAAGTAAACGAATCAAACCAGGCGAATCAGAATAGCCAGACCAATGAAATGAGGTCGAAATATTCAGTTAATCCATCCCATATATGCAAAGGGCGGGATATAAAAATACCACTCACTTCACTCTCTCCTCCGCCCTCACACACACACACACTCTCTCTCTCTCTCACACAAACTCGCCTAGCTTCTCGCCCCCTCACCCCCTCCCATTCAATAATACAAATCCCTAATAACCTCCACAATGACCCCATGATCCTCCCACTGCTTCAACCCACTAACCACCACACAAGCAACCACCCCCTCCACCCCCGTAACTCTAATGGGCACCCCACCCCCATGTATAGCATACTGACCCCCCTCATTCCCCAACCCATATTTGCGCGCGAACGCCACCTCGTCCCCTTCAAATTTACACCACATATACCACGTACTAACTCCCCACCTCAACACCGTTTTGCGTTTGCGCGCGACCCACGAATCATTATCGGGCATGGTTCCGCTGTGTGTGCAGCAGTGGAATAGTATTTGGTTGGCGTTGCTGAGGGAGATGGATATGACGACGGGGGTGGGGTGTGGGAGTAAGCGTTCGCGGAGCGCGCACCCGAGGATCCAGGCGTCGGATGTGGTGAAGTGTTCGAAAATTAGGGAGGAGTCCATGTGGGCTATTGATTCGAGCTGGGGAGATAGGGAGATGGAGTGTTAGTGGGGGATTGAGTGTGGGGAGGAAGGGGGAAGGGGGAATGAAATATTTGAGGAAATGTCACAATCAGATGAAACAAGACATCAATTATAGTAGAGATAAATGACGCTCCGCTGGCCCTCCGGGAGCCACTGCCGTGGAGGCAGAATATACATTGAACCGAATTAAAAAATAAATAAATAAACACTCACATCTTTCGGCGGATGCGCAATCGGTTTCGGAATCGTCTCCGGTGTTGCCCTCTCACTTCCTCCAATAGAACTTGCCATTCTGAATCCTGAAGCCAGACTCGAAATATCTTCTTCCTTATCTGTGATATCTCTACCCGTATTCTCCAGATACAATTCAAATTCCTCTCTTCGCTCCTGCGTACCAGATTTCTCGGCTTCGTAAGGTTACTATAATAACTTGGAATCTTCGAGTGACCCGCTCGTTCCCTCACACCGATTTTGTTGAAATTGAGTGTTCGTGGTGAAGAAGAAGACGTAGGTGTAGGAGACAAGATTTCTCGAATGGTTTCGGGGTTGGGACCTTTTGAAGTGGTTGATTTAAGGGACCGCCCAATTCGTTACTAGTTATTCATTTAAACAGCATGTCCTTGCTAATAACTTGAGTGGATGTTCTATCTAAGTTCTGAATATTTGGGAACTCTAGAATCTCTGCCGTGCTATGCCTTAATATTCATGTATCAAGAGAAGATATGTATATACCGGTACCGATAATGTATATACCTATAGTACTTCCCTTTCCAGTTTATATACTGTAGAAGGTCAAAATGTTGGAGGGTAACGTCGGATGAAGGATGTATTGGTTGATCCATCCTTGTCTGTGTCGGCTTATTACTTACTCACTTATCAAAGACCACCCCGCCTAAATATAATAATAGTACCGGTACTACAGAATATCAAACCTTTAACCTTTCGAGGAGTTTTACTCTTCTATGACATGACATTAAATAATAATCCAAATCAACAACATACTCGAGTACATAGATACTCATACTTACTCAACCATAGGAACCTAACCAACAAGATGGACCCCGCAATCAAATCAGAGTTGGAGAGATATGGCGACGATATTCCATTTCGAGCAATAACAAATCATACACAATCAACATGGGCACGAACATTCCATTCATCCCCCGAATTATTCATTCAACCACAATCCATTCAAGAAATCGAAAAGGTGGTAAATCTTGCCCGAAGATGTAGACGAAGAATTACAACTGTAGGATGTGGGCATTCTCCTTCAACAATAACTTGCACATCGAGCTGGCTCGTTAATCTGGATAACTTCAATCAAATCCTATCTGCGGATAGGAAAACATGTGTGGTGGTTATGCAAAGTGGTATACGATTATATTCCCTGGGTGAACAACTCGATGCGCTGGGATTGGCAATGCCAAATTTGGGCAGTATCAATGATCAATCCATTGCGGGTGCGATATCGACTGGTACTCATGGAAGTACATTACGACATGGAATCTTGTCAAGTTCTATTTTATCATTGAAGATTACTCTTTCCAATGGTAAGACGGAGACTTGTTCACCAGATGAGAATGAAGATCTGTTTCGCGCATCTCTCATCTCACTTGGAGCAATCGGTATCATTACAGAAATTACTTTCCAAGCCGTACCAGCTTTTACCCTCTCGTGGGAACAAACTGTTGATACTGATCTTCACATGATGAATGATTGGAATAAGACACTTTGGACAGATACAGAATTCGTTCGCGTCTGGTGGTTCCCTTACACAAGACGAGCAGTTATATGGAAGGCGGAAGCGACAAATTTGGCCCCGGTACCTCCTCCGAAGTCTTACTACGATGCTTGGTTAGGATATCACGTCTATCATAATCTTCTTGCTCTTGGACACTATGTCCCAAGTATTCTTCCATGGGTAGAATGGTTTGTTTTCGGTATGCAATATGGTTTCGCAAATGGTTCAAAAAGCCGGGCCATCCAACCATCTCGTCAAGCACTTCTCATGAACTGTCTTTATTCTCAATTCGTCAACGAGTGGGCAATTCCAATTTCCAAAGGTCCAGAAGCTTTAAAGAGGTTAAGTTCCTGGCTCAACCATCTTACCCCCGACGATCCAGATTATATCGCACATGGCATCCCTTTCTCAGCCGAGGGTTTATATGTACATGCACCAGTTGAAGTCCGCGTCACCGAAACAAGCAATAGTCTTACTCCCCGTCCACATCTCGATCCAACCTGCACAGAGGAAGCAACGCTTTACTTAAACGCTACTCTCTATCGTCCATATGATATGGATCCACCATGTCGTGCGAGATATTACGAAGGGTTTGAATATTTGATGCGAAAATTAGGTGGTAAACCTCATTGGGCTAAAAACTTCGAAACAACAGGAGAGGATATTGAGGATATGTATGGAGAGAATTTGGAAGAATGGAGAAACATTCGAAATAATGTGGATCCGGAGGGTATGTTTGTGGGGGAATGGCATAGAAGATTGGTTATGGGTGGAGGACGTAGATTGGCGCTTGAGGAAGTGGAGCTTCGGAGGGAGGACTTGAAGAAGGGAGGTGTGATGGTTGTTGGGGCTGTGGGGGGTATCATTAGGTATGTGTATGGAGAAGAGAGTGAGAGTGAGAGTGGGGAGAGTTTTGATATGTTAAGGGCTAGTGAGATGAAATGAGGTAGAGATTATGGAATGGGAGAAAGGCAAAAGGGAAGGAAGATGAATGAATAAAATCAAGGCAGGGCAGGGAATGCAGGGAGGAGGGAAGATTGATTTTTCTATTCATTGGCATTTATCACGAAATTATACACGGGCAACGAATGATGATGGCATGGCAAGGCAGAGCAGGGCAGGGCAGGGCAGGGCAGGGATAGTAAAACTCGATTAGATATCAGATATATTATACCATAGGACATGAACATGAAATATTGCATTGCATTGCTTACAAGGAATAAAAGAAAGATAATGTGCAACTCAACTTTAAATTTACGTACCGGTATTGGTCCAATTGTTCAACTTGTCCGACTTGTCTCACTTATTCATATTGAGCTTAGGAGCTTTGAAAATGATAAGAAAGTTGAGAAAGTTGAGAAAATTAAGAAAGGTGTGTGCTTGTCTACTTGGCTGCTTGGTTATGGGTATGGGTATGGGTATGGGTATGGGTATGGATATGGGTATATTTGTTTGGGATTTCTGGTTGCTGAGGATAGGGATTAGTGGATGGGTATGGTGTTACTGGATGGGGTGTGTTGTGAGTGTTGTGTTGTGTTGTTGGGTTGGTTGGATGTTTGGTGACGTTTTAAGTTGGGTTTTTTTGGTTGAGAAAGATGAGAGGAGGGGGGAGGGGGAAAGGGGGATATTGAAAGGGAAGGTAAAAGAGGGAAGGGTAGGGGAAGTGAAGTGAAGGGAGTAAGGGGTAATGGGGGAGGGGAAGGGGAAGGGGAAGGGGTGAGTATAGGGGGTTAGAGGAGATAAAGGGGAGGAAGGAGGATTTACCGGTAGATGTGGAAGAATAAAGTGAAGGAGGAATAAGTGAGGGGGTAGAGATGAGAAAAGTGAGAGAGGGAGTAAAGAGAATGTAGATACGAGTAGATAGGGGTGATAAAGGGTGATGTGATGGGGAGAGGATTGAGGAGTATGGGGGAGGAGAAGGGGGGGAAGGAGGGTTTATCAGGAAGTTAGAATTGGAAGTTAGAATTGTAATTGGGGTGATGATGATGAGGAGAAGTATAGTATGGATCATGGAAGGTTTAACTTTAATATTCGTTTTGGTTTTGGTTTTGCTTGAGATTGAGATTGATATTGATATTCGGATTCAGATTCAGATTCAGATTCAGATTGTCTAAAATTGGATAAAATGAAGTAGGATGTGATGGAATGATATTCAGAAGTATTTAAGGAACCGAGAGGATCCAAGGGGGACCATTGGCTGGAGGGAAGGGAAATGAAACATCGGAATTTTGATATACTATTTAGTTGAGAAAATCTACGGATTTATATATAATTAATTTTCATTGATGAGCTGAAAAAAATGGAAGTAGAGTATTGAAGTATTGTATTATGTGTTGTAAGATACTATATGTTCTACATGCTACGGTAGCATCAAAACTCGATCTATCCATCACAAACCCAAGTAAGTCTTCCTACCTATTGCAACATTATCTAGTTCTTGCTCTTCAACTCTCTGTTACACACATCTCTCGAGCTCCATCTCCATCTCCATCTCCATATCCACCTAGCTTCCCGTTTTCCATCTCTCCAATATAGAAACAACGACAACAACAACACAAACCCTTCCATTATCAAACAGAAGAACACTCAAACCCAAATTATCCATACCCTAACATCAAAAATCTCGTAAATATTATCAACGGTAACTCAATACCCATATATAAGTGTAACAATTATATAGTCGGCACTAAAATTCAATTATCGACGATAATTACCCCAGGACCACCATGATTCCTAAAGAGTGAACAGCGAAGTACTAATGTCAAAAGTCTCGAGAGTTGAGACCGGTAGATAATCAATGGATAGAAAGATATCAAATTCCCTATCAAGTCCTGTCATAGATTTTGAGAATCGAGACCACCTTACGAAGGATACGAATAGTACAGTGACAAGATATTTCTAAAACCCAGCAATTCCTATTATGTTATACTTACTAGCTACAGCTAGCGATTCCCAAGGTATAGATAAGTCACTTAACATTCTTCCTTCTAGTATGATGAGAACCTCTTTCATCTTTAACGCTCCTCATGTATTGTGATCTCGCTAGATTATACCTCTTCGACTTATCTATCCTACAAGTCTCTTCAATATATATGTAGACTTCAAACCACAAGAACAAATAACTGTCATTTTCTATTATTAATCATATATCGCCCTTGTACTCTCACGTCCTTCAGCTTCCGGAGCATACTGTTTTTCAATGACTTGATTAACTCGTAATTCTACGAGCACTGAGCAGACTCTCGTCTATTTGATCACTAGATACAAGTTTTGCTACAGATAATCCATTGGGTGTTCCCCCGAATCTGCCAAAATATCCAAATTTCGTTCGTGCAGGGGCAAAACTCCTCGTCGTAGCGGACCTGTCAAACAACGTGTATGAAATGGGGGACGAGGGGGACTCGTGTTCCCGGTAATGTAAAGAAGTGTGAGTAGAGTTATCATTCAAATGAGAAGCGAAGACCAAGCTAACAATGACATGGAGTTTTAATCATGACGTAACATCCCATTCAAAATATCATTTCATCTCATCTCACACACTTTTCCTTTTCATTAACTCTGTTCATTAACATAATAAACATGAACATCTCCTCAGCCCGTCTCCGCGGTGGCTAATTCATAACCATGCCCACAACGATGAAACGGTCCCCCATTTGTGGATCCGCCCAACCACTGAAACAAAAATCGCCTAACAGCACCAAATACAGATATTCCTGATTCGAAACCCGGAAGTTTAATCGTTTGTACGAATACAATTATATTTCCCGGCTTATGGACATGCATCATTGTCTCTGCCGAAGTCTACTGAAAGGACGTCATACTGATGAGCCTTTGGTTGAATACTTCCCATCAGGTACCACCAACTCCGTTTATATGATGTTGATTTGGTTGGAGTGGCTCCCTTGTTCGTTTGGAAAGGTTCCCATCGTCACTGCACTGCTCTGATGATATACTGAGTATATTTGAGGTCAGCTTACCTGTGCGCTGGAATGTATCAATGCGGGGATTGTAACAGTGGTTGATCATTCACATTTGAATGGCGTTTTGTACAACAGTACCCTATGGGAGGCGCTGAAAATACATTGCTTTTGCAGCACTCGCGGCAACTATTTTCTCGGAGTTCAGATCATCATACTGCTATTATCCAATACTTGGGATTACCCAAGGGAGATGATATGAGCCACTCCACAAAGAAACTCTTCACCGTGGCCAACTCTTGGTGTCTAGAGCAATGGTAGGGTAACATATGATAAGACGATGCAACAATGGACCAAAGAGGCAGGAAGAATAAGATGAGCAAGGTACAGCGGCAGTGAGCACTTGACTATGTTTAGTACATCCTGGTCAGGACGAGAATGTCTCCGTTGTACACGTTGTATATTGTGATGCTGTCAACTCCACAAGATTTGCGAATCCGAGATGATAAGCTCCAAGCACTTTTGATGAGAACTACCAGTATACAATGGCATGTTTTTCATCCAAAGTACAAAAGAATAGTATAAGAAGTATGCGCTACAAAAACATATATATTTAGGTCTGAGGAAAACAACTCCCAAGACTTTCGGGACCGAAGTCCTCAAGCCGTACCAAGCCCCCACTCAGGAATATACATCCGTACAGTAGGTGCAGTAGGTGCCACTTGCACAGAGGATTGGGATTGTCGTCGTAAGCTTTAGCCGTGATATTGGAAACACGAGAGATAGAAGCCAACTAGATTGAAGAAAAAAGGTTTTGTTGCAAGTCTCATTTCTTGCCCAGCTTTTTACTTTCCCTACTTGGCATGATTTGCATTCGGAAGAGAGTGGTGAAACTTTGAGGCGAGGGACCTATTTTGGTATGCTTGTCAGTTACAAAACTTAATGCAGTGTACGTACTCCGTAGCTTTGTCCTTTTCTTATTCCCGTTGTCAAATGTTGAAAGTTGGAAGTTGGTTTTCAAAAGTATACTCAAATTCTCAGACTACCTAGGTAAGTAAAATTTGTATTGTGTGGATGAAGTTTTTAAGGAGACATCGGAGTGAGAGGTAAGAAGACTTGATTCTCATGATCACGTGAATACGTGTAATTTTGGTACACGAACTTTTATTTCTCTGGCGAAGTTGTCACTTCAAGAGATTGTCGCACGCGTTGCAAATATTACTACCGCTACCACTTGAAATGAAGCAATTCCTTTGCTACATCAGTATAGAAATGACTTATTCAATTTTGTCAATATACAACTTGGAAAGCCTTACTTTGTGATTGTCTTGAGTGTTGTTCCTTGAGATGGTCGTAAGTCTCATAAGTCTCAGCGTATCAATACGCGTTCATTGAGCTTCCGCACATCCTCAAAATGATCAAAGTAAACTACAAGACCCAGTTAAAACCCTCACATCCCATCGAATCAGCTCAACCAATAACGGCAGATCAATTTCTGGAACTGGAAGAGCGGCAACGGACTCGGTTCAATGGAAAAGATGGTGGACTGGCGAGAATCAAGACGGGATGTCTGGAAATTGATGACTATGTTCTTTGTGGTAGTAAAGAAGAATTGAATGGAGGCTTCGAAAGGGGTATTGTGGTGGGTTTGAGTGCTACCGATGGGGATGAATCAATAGGTAGTAGACTAGTAAGTTTCTGCAATATTGTGTATACAATTTGGGCATTCAAGAATATACTGATGGGGCGTTCATGCTAGATATCTCTCAATCTTATAGCCTCTGTTCTCCTCCAACATGTCGATTCAGCAAATGCTATACGGGACCCCCAAGATGAATCAAGAAACGTAATGAAGCCAAAGGTTGTGGTGATCGACGCAACCGGCTCTTTTAGCCTTCCTCTCCTAGCCAAAGGTTTGAGATCAAGACTTCTTCAAGTGAGGCACAAAACGAGAAGTAAGGACAACACAAGTGGAAATCTCGAGAATGACCTCAATCTAGACAGGATCACCGAACTTGAGATACAAACTGATATGAATGCAATGCTGGAACTGGTTGCGATTAGTAGAGTCTTCGATATAGAAGGATTGTGGGAAGTATTGGGTGAGATAGGCAGAACAGACGGCCGGTCCAATGAGGGAGATAATCAAGAAACCTCAAACAACCATCCATCACGGGAGGGCAAATTTGTTGAAAAGCAAGCAGAGTTGTTGCACAAAATACCAGATGAGATAGGTGATAGCGAAGAGGAAGATATTAATATGTCGACGCCATCGCCGGTCAAGCTCGTAGCGTCAAAAACAAGTGAGGTAGAAACCAGTCCAGAAATATTGATCATAGACAACATGCATTATTTAATCTCCCACCTGTTTACACATTCCGAAAAATCTTCCGCTCACAGTCTTCTCTCTTTGCTCTCACGAACCCTACACACCCTAACCCATACCCAAAACATCCTCACCATTCTCCACAACTCTACTATATCGACCAAAACTAACTACACAAAACCCGGTACTCGACAATCTCCACCTCCACCTCCAGCTCTCCAATCTATCTTTACCTCCACAGCCCAAAAGCCATCACTAGGACGAATATTCGACGAGTTTCTAGATCTTCATATCATGATCTCGAGAGTCCCAAAATCAAGAGTGGATGCCGAAGTTCTCTATGGCCAAGATGACAGCTTCCAGAATAACGAAATCAGTTATTGCCTTGTGTTTGAAGTTTTGAGGGATGAGTGTCCTGTTTTGGGCAGAGATAGGGATTTGGGCAGGCGTTTCGGAGATAGAGAGCAGAGATGGGGTCTTTTCGAGATTGGTGCTGAGGGTACGAAGTTGGTTGATGCATTCAGGGGTGGGGTTCTGGGGGCATGAAGGGAATGGCGTTGTCATGAGGTGATGAGTTGTAGTATGATGATTGATTGTGGCTGAGGCGTATAGGCTTGGGGGGAAGAGGGTCTGAATGTTAATGGCTCACACATCATACTTGAAGGACCGGATCGAAATTAAAAGCAGATCTCTCAAACATCACCTTCAGTACGGCAGCACTTGTGAGAGGTCCTTCAAAATCGCCGTGGTGGAATCATACATTCCAGATGGATCGGCCAACGTTCGTCAAGTAAATACACTTCTCAGTGCTGAGTGCAAAATTACATACAAAGGAAATCCTTTCGCAGTCCGAGCATGCTACCTCAAACCCGCGCAAGCAGGCTCAGCGATATATATAGACCCAATTAAATACAGTCGCTTCCAGGGAAACTTCTACACTGCACTCTCTTTGCTTGGTGTTGAAGCGTAACTTTCAAAACCACACCAGTTGATCCAGAGCTTCATCACCAGCACCCAATATCCACGAAATTCTCCACAGTACCCGGGATATCTCCCTCGTCTGCAACTCACAGGTATCTAGAAACACCTCAGTTTATCTAAAAACCCTTGCTTTACGCCAGCTTCGCTGCCAGAATACCCGTGAATGTTGAGCTTCATGAGATCTCCATTCAATATGTTTGAAATGGAACTTATGGGTTGAGTATCCTTCATCTTCAGAATCGAGCAGGCAACAAGGTATTGATATTGAGGCAGTAGGGCTTCATGATACTCAATCGGACTATCACTTGCAGAGAAGAACCTCGCAATGCTGCTCTCGAGCTTGAGAACTTCTCTGAATGGCACACATGTCTTGTTGTAAGCCTTTATACTGAATGTTCGTTGGCACTTAGATTGCGAGTGCGTTGATTTGTTACTCGGTTGAAAGTACTGCATTTTGTGATGTTATGAAGTTACATTGAAGTTGTCTAGAAATATGCCCACTCTTGTAATACTAGAGCTTTACGAGGAGCTGGCAATGCTACCTGAGAAATTCTTTTCAAGAGCGTAATAATTGTCCTTATATAATAATATATATACCTAGCCTATTCTGATATCTTCCCGTATACCATTGATGCTCCTGAGATACTATGACTATTCATAGCTCACATTTAAGACAAGAAGGTACAAAACACCTCAGAAACATCAAACTCAACTCGGTCCTCATCAAATGGAGAGAAGAAATTTAGATATAGAATAACAGATAATGGCAATATGGATGTGTAAATTCATGGAAATAGGGAGCAAATGAGGTATGAAAAGGTGGGCTATTGCACTGTGGGAAACTCCCAGTTTCGATCTATTGAGTATGACCTTGATATCATGATATGCAGTCTAGGGTGGGAAAAGTGAAATAATATTGAAAGATACGCAATATTGCAATGAGATTCCTAAATTGTTCAATTGTGTGTATTTGCTATGGTGGTGGGCATATTGGAGGAAAAGCGGCCAAGTCGAATTCTGTGGGTGGAGTGATTTGTACCTAAGAACAAGGAGAAGCTATGGCGCATCCGTTATTGCAGAAGAATTTAGGAAGCGAGGTGAGGAAAACAAGAGACGGCAATCAAAAGACCCCTAGGTTGTTTGGTGTCCAGTAAAATTTGTGGTATGATAACAAGTTCTAGGTCTTTCATAGGCCCAGGGAACCAAATGGCATGATTTGTCCGTAAATCTCCAAGTTCTGGAACCTGGCAGAATGCGAGTACATATGCATCACACACATCGCATTGCACTCAATCGCATACCCTTCCTAACCATCTTTCATTGCAAAAGTCTGTTCATTGTTGACTATCGATCAAAATGCAGACGACCCAATCCCTTCCATTTCAACCCCTCTCCCCCCATAACCATGAACAAAAAACTTAACGGCTGGTGTTCATTGGCTTTGGTGCCTTACCCTTCGAGCCTTGCTTGCTGACTTTCGATTGGGTGGAAACATTGGTCTTTGCCTTGGTGGCCTTCTTGGCGGCTTGCTCTGCGGCACGCTTCTCCTTGGCTGCCTTGATGGCGGAATCACGAGCAGCGGATCTAGCTTCAGGTCTCTGGTTTCTTCGCTCCTTGATGACATCGAGGGAGGCACCGACGATAGCTCTTTGGGACTTGACGGTTCTGCGGGAGCGCTTCTTGGCAACTTCCTATATGGTGAAATCCTAGTTAGTCTTCTGATCTTCCAAATATCCCACAATATCTCTTCTTCTATCTCGATGCGAATTGAGTCGCGAAATAAATTTATATCGTACCTCGGAGATACCCTTCTTGTGTTGTCTTCTGAAGAGAACGGTCCATGCAATTCGGCGAGGGTTCTTGCGTTGCAAAAACAACGATTCGGATTTACCGTTTTGGAAACGGAAGATCTTGGAGTCTCCACGGATGTAGAGCTTGCCCTGTTTAATTCCAAAAAGTAATTAGCATTGAATTCTAAAATCTCAAATCTTATGCGCCCTCAGCATGATCCTGAATTCTGCACTATCGTAAACCCATCCATTCCCTTTTCTTCCTCCTCGATTCCATCAATCCTCAATCAATCCATAACAATTCATCCCAACACCATCACACCATAGATATTAAGAAATGACACTCGTACCTTTCCAGGGTAGATCTTGGCTCCGGAGAAGGAATCTTCGTAAGTACGCATGATGTCGACGGGCGTGAGTTGTCGTTTGTCGTGGGTTAGTTGTTTCCTGCGGAGTCGGCGGGGGCAGGAGTTTCGATTTTATCTGTGAAGCCGCTTGATTTTCGTTGTGCGAATTGTCCAAGAGAGCTAAGACCTCGCTAAATTGGCCCTAACCAATTCACTTTGAGCCTTATCAGCCTCGTCAGCCTTGTCGTGTTATTATCAATTGGAACTCTTGACAAGTTAAAACGCTCTAGAAAGGATGAAAAATAGAATTTAAATGGCATTCATAATTTTATTTTTATCGTCCCGATAATTAATCTCATCGATTCCTGGAGGGTACAGCAAGGTGAAGTTTCAAAGTTGTTATCACGTGATTCGACAGCTATGTTCTCTTCGTCAATTCTTCTATGGGAGACAGAACATTTCTTCCAATCGCATGTATAACCACCTTTGAAATCAACATCAATAGTAACCATGTCTCCTGTCAAGATCTTATTCAGTCCAGAAGCGTACCCTCATGGGTATCCACCAATTCTCGAAAATATCACGCAGGATAATGTCTATAGTTGGACACCTTTACTCCAGCACAAATGCTCATTTCCAACAGAGATCTTCTCACAGGTTATGTTGAATTTGATACGAAACCCGAACATCAACTCGAATTACCTTTTTCGAGCTGATATATCTTTGGAACAGTTGTTGGATGAGAGCTTCCAGAATGATACTACGATTCCTGCGAGGATCATTCAATTTCGCAACTACACTCTACAGAAAGTTATGGTAAGAACTATGATACCGAGAAATACTCTAAAAGATAGGCCACTCGATCAAACATGTCTCTTCTACCAACATACTACAGATACTGATACTGGGAACATTCAATCTTTGGTCATATATCTCCCTCATATATCCTCTCCTGACGAGTCACCATTCTATCACCCTAAAGTCTATGGAATTGCTTTCCAGCATACTTTCAATCCTGAAACGCAAGACGGAATGATTGCAATACATTATGCATTCTTCGACTCCGAACCCCGCACTCAAAAACTTGAAAGAACAGCTGAGCATTTACTAGCTGCTCTATACAAGCACGGACAAGGGACTGCCGCAGGATATGTCAAGAAGGTTCATCATGATACCATTATACCCCAAGCTATTGTCCAGAATACATATGCTAGACTCAAGGTTAAGTATGCAAAGACTTTGATTGAAAATTGGGCTGAGTCGACTAATCCTGAAAAGCATGTTTTCGAGGATCTGAATATTGCAGCATTCCTCATCGAACTTTGGGCCGATACTTATAAAGACACTGAATTTCCAGGTTATGTTGACATTGGCTGTGGGAATGGACTGCTTGTTCACATTTTGTCTGAGGAAGGTTATAAAGGTTGGGGATTCGATGCTAGAGAACGAAAATCATGGAGTGTGTTCGGGTCAAAAACGCGAGATAAACTAGAAGAACTTGTCTTGATACCCTCGATTCTATATTCGGAGCCAAATGAAAATCAAACCTCAGGACCAGATATTCATGATGGAACGTTTCCTAAGGGAACATTCATCATCTCAAATCACGCCGATGAGTTAACTCCATGGACACCTATCCTTGCCAATATCTCCCAATCTCCATTTATGATGATTCCATGTTGTAGCCATGCTCTGAGCGGTGCAAGATGTAGAGCACCGCCACCCAAAGGATCTGAAGGTACACCGTCGGCTTACGCTTCTCTCGTTGCATGGGTTGCGGGACTCGCTGAAGGATGTGGATGGGAAGTTGAGAAGGAATGGCTACGAATACCCAGTACGAGAAATGCAGCTTTGATTGGACGAAGACGAAAGCTAGATTACGAAGAGATCGATGTGGGAGATTTTGTCGTTGCACACGGTGGAGCTGCAGGCTGGAAGGATAATGCAATGAAGTTGGTGACGGGGAAAGCAAAAAATCATTGATAATCTAAGTCCGCGGCTCACGCTGTTTACTTACCATCAATTATACTAGCCAATACGCCGTCTGCATGCGAAACCATTTCCCCAAGTCTCAATGCTGAAATACACCGCCTATATGAAAAACCGTTTCTCCATCCCCGAAAACGCCATGACATGCGACGCCATTTCCTCGTTCATAGAAATCCCATGAAATGCGCCACCTACATGCAAAGCCATATCTCTATCCTCGAAAGGGCCTTGAGAATCGCCGTCTATATAAATATTTCTCCATTCCCGAAGATGCCACGAGATACACCACCTCTTCGCCAAAGAGAAAATGCGGTCAATATCACCATTACGTTATTCTAATTAAGCTGAACATTCGAGTCTCTCGAACCTCTTCAAGGAAAAATTGGAATTTATACTTCCATCAAATTTCTTTACCACTATCATATTATTTTCTTCCTTCAAATTTTCGATTTGATGTAAAAGCGTTTTGTCATCAACGAAACCCAAACATTGACACGTCAGTTTCCACCTGCTGTGACATTGATGCAAAGACCACTTGCACAAGAAACCCTCCCCAGCACCGAAAGCTCCATGAGAAATACTTGAGAAAACACGAAGAAAAAAAATGGGTTATCTGATCAAAGGCATTCGCCGCACATGTCAACCCAAATCAAGCTCCCAGAACCAAAAGGTGATGGAGACAATGACAATAGAGAGTTTGTGAGCTCTAATTTTGCTTCTCGCGCCTTTTTAGGGGCTTTTGATTCAAGGTGTCCAATATTGTAGGCTACAGCTTGATCTGAGGATTTTCCATGTTCAGAAGAATGCGAGTATTTAATGATGTCGCGGGTTTTCCTTATAGATTTATTATTTCAGACTAATTCCATATTTAACATAAAGCGAATGATTCGAATAGCTTCAACCACTCAGCCATCTCATTCGTTCAAATCACTGGCACTTCATTCACTTCAATCTTTCAAAAGTTGTCAATGAACTTGCTCTAACAAAAAGGAGAAACGAACCTAAGCCACTTAATTGGCTCAAGAATATTTGCACCACAATTACGAAACCTGAGCTTTATATACAAAACCCATTGAACCTTTCAAAATTTGGCCAGATCTAGAACACCAGTCCCGTCCATAGGTCGGCAGTTCAAAAGGTCAGCCAACATATCCTAATCATGTGCAGCGGGTCCAAGATCATCTCAATGACGTTTCAAAGGCTGAGGTTCACTCTAACTCAAACTTACTTTCCATAGCCCTCGTACCATACCTGAGTTAGAACAAACCTGCAATAATGGACTTTTGAGTCTTCTGTATGGTGAATATAGCTTGGGTGGTTCATAAGTCGAGTATGGTGACTCGGTTGAATTTGATTGCACGTGTAAATGGCAACAGCAAGCTCGAAGGGACTTAGGTACCGTTACGTAATGTGTACTAGGTGATCTTTGAGGGAGTATTGAAGGAGAAGGGTGAGGGGCGTGAGGGATGTGAGGATGTGAGGGATTCATGCAGTGTTTGCTAAAGCTGTACGCAAGGAATTTGAGAGAAGGAAGAGGGGAGGTGACAGGGTGCCTGCAATATTTACATGAATTTCATAGAGAATTTACGAGAGCGGCCTGGGACTGGACGGGGCTGGAATATGAACTATGGCGGGTCGAGCCTCAGAGAGAGAATATAGAGAAAAAAGGACTTGCACCTTGGAACGCCACCACTTCATAAAATGCGCCTGGGAATATAAGAGGAAGGAACGGAAGAAGTAGGGGAGTGTCTGTAGTGTTTACTGCAATGTCACAAAAAGGACTTAGGAAGTATATGGGAGCTAGAATTTCGAATGTACTCGAGTAGTGCCGTGCCGGCGAGCCAGAGAAGAAAGAAAAGAAAAGAAAAGAAGAAAAATGCATCTTAGATAAACTGCAAATATTCGATTTTTATTCCCAACAATGGAAAATATGTAGGTGTGAATACTATTCTTTCGCTACTCTCATAATTATACATTTCCAACAACCTGCCGATCTACGGGGATGAAAAGCTGAATTAGGATGTGTGGTGATGGCGAGCGGAGCCAAACAAGAGTAAGAAAATAAAGAAAGGGTGCACCTACGAGTTGCAAGTATCTGATTTCTTCCCTAACAATAGTAAAGATGTTTATTGCATAGGTTTTACTCTTCTACTCGAGTACTTCCCTAATATACCACTCCATCATGTGACTGACCGCATCCTGCATTTCCCATCCAATGATCTGTCACCCTCAACCCTCCTTCACCATCAAATTCCATCTTCTCCTTCCAAATCACATCATATCCATCAATCTCAACAGACGCCACAAAAATAGTGCGCCCCAATATACCCCTCCTCTCCCACCCCTGCATGATCTCCACAACCTTTTCCCTAAAATCGGCCAAATAAAACCTACGAACTACACGAAATGGAGAAACACCCCAAGAAAAGAATAATATGGTGACTATGCATATGGAGTTGGTAATGAAGGGAGGGGCCATCGGGTACGGGGCTGGATTTTCTGAAGGAGGGGAGTGTGACGAGATTTATGTGCTTTGAGATCTTGGAAAGGGGGGAGGGGGTGGGGAGGAGGATAGGGAGGGGGGCGCAGACGGAATGGGGGGGGGAGGAAGGATTGGGAAAGGTGGGAAAGAGTAGAGGAGACGAGTTGGCGCGAGGGCGTAAAATATAGAAAGATGCGGTATTGTTTTTCCTGTGAATATGCGGTATGGTAAAAATGATGTAGGTAGTCACTGAAAACACTAGACACTGTGTAACTCTGCATCACCCGTTCGGAGCCACCAACTTATTCCGTAGATATCAAGTTGTATGGTTTGTTGGAGCCCATTGACTGTAAATAGAGTTGAGATCCTGCCAACATCTTGATTGAATACACCAGCATTGGAATGCTTGGGGTCGCATAAGAAAGATTTTGTCATATGGAAGGGCTTAATGTGTAGTATGATTTGTACAGCTAAGTAACCTTCTGACTACCTGAGATTTTATTTTCATGCAGCGAGATGCCGTAACATAGCCCGGAAGGAGAATTTGATGATTCCCATATCAACGCTGTCGCCGGTTCTCTAATATCATTCCTGCTTGACCATGCCTTGCGTGTGGAAAATTTATTCGACCTTGTCCTCAAAATTCTCTCCTTCGACCAACTCAGGGATATCATCATCGTCCTCATCATCATCCTTCTTGTCGTCACCACCTTCTGCCTTTTGCATCGACTGGTAGCTCTCGGCAAGCTTGCGGAGGGAGGCGAGGGAATCAGGGCCGAGTTGGTTGAGGATACCTGGGACGAGCTCGGTAAGTTCTTTGTCTTCACCGGCACCGTAGATGGCGAAGGTGTTGGATGGAACAGCAGCGTGAACTATTGGTTAGAAGGTTAGCACAACGCCCGATAGCTCGTATTGTGAGGTAGCAGTACCCTTTGGTGCTGCGAAGTGGATAACATTTCCGTCAGACTTGAACATGTTTACTTCTTCGATAGCTTGAATTGGTTGAACATTAAGCTTCTTGAGGGAGGTCTGTAACTTCTTGTCGTCCATTCCAGTGCTCTTGTGAACGTTCTTAACCTTTCTTCTTGGTGTGCCCTTTCCACTGTTGTATTGTTAGCATACCAATGCTACCCCGCTATGCGCTTTCCTCAAATTATAAAGTTCGAAATCGTAATCGCAGACTATAAGTCGCAGGCGAGAATGAAAGATTCTGTCACATACCCTTCGGCCACATGTTAGCTTTCAATTGTTCAAATACCTGTATAGCGCAGCCAGCGAGCCAGCCAGCCCCTCCAGCTTCCAACATCTCCGATCTCAAGCTCTTCAACTCTCCCGCCGTTCGCGTATTCTAAGATGTTCGCCGGACTTAAACTCACCGGTTCTAACGCCACCTCTCGCCTGCATTCTCTTCAATTTTTCCATATCCATAATTGCTGTAGTTTGACCTTGGTCGAGAAGTGAGGGGAGGTATTGAGTGTGAGGAAGGATTGGAGATTATTGTTCTGTGTCGTGTATAAGTCGTCAGCCAACAGTCCATAATCTCTATGCTGCAAAGTCTCTCCCAGAGATTGGGTTTATCATCAGATGGTATACGTACAATTATACAGATTTGACTTTCCTATGTAATCAAACTCGTCGTCGTAGGTTGAAGGACCTTGTCGCCAGTTGTGCGTTGCCCAGAATTTCCATTTTTAAGCGAGGATTTTATGTGGGGGAATTCTACAGCCTTGTCGAGCTCGGGCAAAAAGTTATCAACTGAATGGATAACAACATTATATTTTGGTAAATGATGAATAGTTGAGGATGAAAAGATAAAGTTGTCACCTCTGATCATTATATACCAAAGAGACTACATTTCATCCTTTATGTCTCCTCCCTTCTATTGTTCCTTTCATGTATTACACGGTCTAGAATTTGGTAAGCAAGCTAGCTACTCAAAGCGCTATGTCTTATTCTTATCAGTGTACAGGTATGTATTCTTTCATTGTGACTTTCTTACCTCCTCATTTTCCCCGATGATGCAACCAAAGCCTCGTATATGATAGTACTTTCATATACTCAATTCCTTTGTAACGGCTTCTTGAAGACATGCTATCTTTCGTTTCTTTCTATTGCTGCCTTGGTCGAAAGATAATCCAAGCGATATCACGTGAATATACCTCAATGAGATCTCACGTGAGTATGGCGGCAACCTTTTCTTGTCGATCTGCCATTCTTCTTAAAGATGATGCTTCACAATCATGGGCCGTGAGACAACTTTCTGTTATTTCGGTACGTTCCATCCAAGGATTCAAACTAAAGATTGCGGGCTCCCATCCAGATACTAGTGTTCAACCGATGTCATTGAACGAATGGAAGCTGGAAGAGGAAGCAAAGTTTTCGTCAACACAAAGTCATTTCTCAAGCGTCATTGGTTGTGCCCGTGTACATCGGGTGGGGGTGCTTTTCGGTCACTCTTAGGAAGAGGTGGGCTCTAAATGCTGCTGGCATATATTTTCCATTGACCTCATCG